ATTTGCACTGCTTTAAACTTTGTTGCCCTTATTCCATTTTGTTTACTTCGTCAAATGTTGGCAAATGTTTTTGGAGCTGAATTCTATAGGACTGTACCAAACTTCAGGAAAAGAAAAAGAAAGTTGTTGTCTTGTGTTCCCGTCCTTGACAAAAAGTAAATTGAGGCACTTTCACTTTGTAGTCTTGCAACGATGGCAAAGGAATTTACAAAAGAAGCGTGCAGAGTTTTTGTTTTGCGAATCTAAACCCACTGCTTTTTTGCTGTTCTCATTGCTGTCACTGTCATTATTGCTTAAGCTCCCTAATTTTCTGAAATGGGTGATTCCAGAAAATATCCATACCATACCACGGGCGGTATCTTGGAATTCCGAGGAAGAGGGGGGGTTTCTTGGACTGGAATTCCGAAGACGTGGGGGGGTAACGCAGTTTGGAATTCCAAAGGCATGGAGGGGGGGTGTTTCAGCTCTGAATTCAGTGAATTTCCAGAGGAAAGACGGCGAAAGCTCCGCTTGAAATCGCTGACCTGCTAACATTCCCAGTTTGTAAATGAAACACGAACCGACCACGGAAGAAGTATGCGTTCATGCAGATGGGTAAGCAGATGGGTTTTTGCAGCAAGCTCCACATCGAAGAGGCCTTAAAGTTGATGAATTAGTCAACTGATTAATAAAAATATAACCAAGTCGGTGTTTCTCGCCGATTGCCGATCGACGATGTGTTGTTGTGTGCTGAAAACTCGCACCAATCTCTCGTTTCCAAATAGAACGCGTGACAAATTTTGTATTTCACACCGATTTTCATGCCAACATGTAGGTAGTAAAATCCGGCAGCGTGCCTTTTGATGCGCTGTTTAATTCAAAACTGTTTTTGCGCAAGTGTTTTGATCATTCAGTTCTAAATAGTTATTTTACCTCGAAATAACTATTTATTCCAGGAGCTTATATCCTTAAACGGACTTATATTTGCCAATAGAACTGGAAGAGTCGGGGAGAGGTTTACCTCAAAAAATTATAATAGTTACTTTTCATTCATTAACAAACTTGAGTTGCTCGATCGTCTGACTAAAAATTGTGAACAGAATTCTTTTGCAGAGGGAAAAAGTGCAAGTTTCTCGTTCGTTTGAAGATTTAGGCAGACGAACAAGAATTCCAAAGGGTCTGAAACAAAAGTGGAAAATTCCGGAGGAGAGGGGGGGTTAGCGATTTTGGAATTCGGAGGGCAAGGGGGGGATAAGCATTTTGGAATTTCCGAGGGCAAGGGGGGGTTAAAATACTCATGCCACCCGTGGTAGGGTATGGATATTTTCTGGAATCACCCAATCACACCATGATGCCATTTTTGTGCCAAGGTTTGTGAATTTAACCATAATTTTGTCACTGTACATGTATCCTTTTTGTTTCCTTTGATGCAGGTAAAAAATCAACATCTTGAAAGGAACATTAGTTTCTTGGTTGATGAGCTGAAGTGTGTTGACAGAGCTCAGGCTGAGGATAGAGTGTTCTTTGTCTCTGCCAAAGAGGTACGGGTAACACAAAATATTAATTTGATGAATATGCCATTGTTTCTAATGTTGATATGACAACAACTCTGCAAAATTATTATTAGGACAGTTTTCAAGTAACATAGAATACAATACAAAAGTGGGTACTGTGCTAAATAAGAGATTTCCGAAAAAAATAGGAAACGGGCAAAAGATTAAAATGTTTGTCTGGGTGAAGTTCAAAGCCAACTGAAAAAAACTCTGTTAGTTTTATGATCTCAGCGGGCAGGTTTTTGGCAGTCATTGATTTTCCTTGGCCAATAGCTCTACCTGTTTGCATCACATATAGTGAGGCTGATGCATTTTACAGATTTTTTTCTTTTGTTGTAGACATTGATGACAAGAATGCAGAAACATCAAGGAATGCCCCAAGGAGGTACACATAATCAATAATATTCACTTGAAATATAGCTGTGTGTCAGTGTGATTTCAAGGGATTACCAGTAGAGGTTTTGGGTGCCCAGCTATTGCTCTTACCTGAAGTTGACAGCCTTGTTCAATATTACAGTATTGCAAGTATTTTGTGTGAGTGTTTGGTCCTAGGTTTGCATGTCTGCCACTGAAAGCAATATTTTGTTATTAAATTAGCTTGAGACCAGGCTCCACATTGGGGGAAAAAGGGAAAAAACGGGGTCAAATAGGAAAAATATCGGCGATCGAAGTGAGCCAAGTGGTGGACCCCACCCTTTCCCCTCCCCAGACTACCTCTCAGCTGGCTTCGCTTGTCGATTCTTTTTTTTTTTCGCTCACATGATTTTTTTCTCCTTTTCCTACCAGTGTGGAGCCTGGTTCCAGGCTAGCTCTTTATAATGAAATGAAGTAAAACAGGTTTGTAAGCTTCAGGCACTCTGCCATACGTGCAAACTTCAGATCCACCAGCCATACATGTTTGCTGCTTGAACAGTAATAAGCAAATATTATCCTTGCATATATTATCTGCTAAAATGTAAATAAGGCATTATGTCTTTGTAAGACTCCATAGATTCACATGTAAAATGTTTTACTTGTAGGAGGTGCTATACATGTTGAAGGATTCCCGGCAAGACAACTTGAGTTTGAAAACTTTGAGCGCAAGTTTGAGGTAAAATGTTCTGACTTTAACAGTATCGTCAAATGACAAATTTGCAAATGACAAAAATTCATAGTATACATTTGCGGAAGGGTTTTTATCATGCAATAGAGGTCTGTGATTTGAACCATTGATCCAGGAAAAATAACTTTTTTTTTATCTGGTTGTGAAGGACATGAAGCTGTCTAGTTTTCTTTCACCTAGAACCAATGAATGGTATTGTTGTATTACCAGAGGTACATGTAGTTGTACAACAATGCTTGACTTTAAATCACTGAGAACCTGTTTACAATGAAAGAGGGTAACCCTTGTGCAAGGGTTACCCCAGCAATCGGGTTGACGTTAGCTCTACCCTTGGTACCTGAGGCTGTTTCTTGCGTGCGGTGATTGAGTGTGGCGGAGATACTTCAGGGTTGTCCACAGGCCAACACATCTGTGAATAACTGACCAAGACTGCAAACCGTGTATGAAAAGTCTCTGGCATTAGGGTACGATAGCTCTGGTTTATGTTGCGAGGGTGCTACCCTCACTCCTTGTAAACAGGACTTAAGATGTATTTCCTACTACCTCACAGGAGTGTATTTCCAAATCAGCCATCCAAACCAAGTTTGAATCTCATGCTGTCAGTGGACTCAAGGTTGCTCAAACGGTAAAGGTGATCATGGAGCAAATTGTTGGTTGTGCTTTCCAGCAGAGGTTAGCTACATTTTATCTCTTAGGGTTGTTCTTTTGCAATAATTACAGTTGAACCTCCATTAAGTGGGCATCTATCAAGAGGCAACCCTCTATTAAGCGGCCGGTAACCAAAGTCCAGGAATAATTGTAGGAAAAAATGGGAAATTCAACCTCTGTTAACCCTTGGGCATACAAGGCAGGGGTGGGGGGGAGGGAGGTGGTTGCCACTCCCTAAGGTTTTTCTGATTTTTTCCCTAGACGATAAAACATTCAGCACCTGAAGTTTTCTGTGGATGTTCGTTTATCCCTTGTGTCAGGAGCCTAGGCTCCTGCTTGCATGCATTTTGAGACAAGTTTAGTGATGGTCAGTCACTATGATTACGAGAGTAGCAGGTGGTCAAGCCCTTTTTGGGAGAAAATGCATGTTTTCTCAACTTTTTTCAACAACAAAAGTAAAAAATCGTTTCAAAATACTGCAACATATCAAAACCTCAAGGGGGGGTGAGAGTTCTCACACTGTTGTCATCTCTGTGAATCGGCTATCAAGTGCTTGATATTTTTAGTTTGGCTTCAGTTGAAGAATTTGATGAAAGAAAATACTATTCGAGATGGGAATTGATGACCGTTTGTGGACCAGTAATGCTTCTCCCATCGCTCATTTGTTTTGCAATAAAGTGATGTTTCTGCTGATGATTATGCTAATATATGATAAACCCATATTAAGTGGCCAACCTCCATTGAGCAACCACTCGCAGGTACCCGGAGGGGGGCTGTTTAATGGCGGTTTAACCGTATTTTCATAAGACCCAGTTCACAAAGGACTTGTGATTACAGAACTCCCTTGTAGTCCTTTATTTCACAACGATGAATTAACCAAATATAACTGTCTGTAATTAACACAATGTGTGTGTCAATTCATTGTTTTGTTAGAGCCTGTTTACATGGAGGTGGGGGACCCCAGGTAGGTGAGGTAACATGTGACAGGTCACCCCACCTATCATGTAAACGTGATCAAATCAAAATGAGAGATTATATGGACAGGTGGGTTACCCCACCTAAGCAGGTTACCTCACCTTCCTGGGGTTCCCCACCTCCATGTAAACAGGCCCTAAGATAATTACCTCCACAAATTAATTCTACATTTGCAAACTCATAAGTATGTTATTTACTTTTGGTGACCTAGTTGTTAGGGATTGCTAAATCCCGTGGGAGGTTTTTCCTGAGTTTTAAATACAACAGTTCCTTTTTTTTGTTTTTTTGTTTTAATAACTGAAAAGTTATTAAAGTTAAAGTATAAATATAATGTTTTACTGCTAAGTATCTGCTCGTAGCATTATAATCCTGATATGACCCAAGATCACCAGGAAGGTGTAAAGTAATGGTTTTTTTATTGCACAGAACAAGACTTGAAAAAGCCAAGAAAGAGCAAGAGGATCGCCTGGAGTATATAAAGGAGCAGTTAGAGATGTACAGTCATGATGCCAAGAGGCACATCAAGGAAATCACCACCAAAGTGGAAGGACAGGTGAACTATAATGTAACTTTGAATTTGGAAGCTTGAGCAGAGGCGTTTTTTTGAGCGAAGCACGTCACGTGGAAATGGAGCTCCCCCCCCTCCCCCGACGTTTGCGAAACGTCTTGTGGACGAAACGGCGATGAATAGATCAGTCTACAGAGCTGCTGCAGGGCATAACCAAGTGTTTATAGAGGCACATTAATCCTTGAACTGTTTGTAAATAAAATGCTCACGTGTACAGTTGTATGAATACACTTTCAGTGTATATAATACATATTAGTGTAAAATAACTAACTTATTTCCGTTGCCATAACTGTAGGTAACAGAGGCTATGACGGAAGAGATCGGGCGATTAGGATTGCTTGTGAATGAGTTTGATCATCCTTTTCACCCTCATCCTGGCTTTCTTAAAACTTACAAAAAGGTTCGTTGTGTGGTTTAACCACTGTCAAGGTTTTTCTCCTAGAGCAATTTTTATGTTACCCTGAAAGACTATGTCCCTATTGAACGCGCTGATGTAGAAGTATTGTATGTGTTTTCCACCCTTCCCCTCCCAAAAGAAATCTTCTCACTAAAAACCGTAAATCCTCTTTAAAGCCCTCCCCCCTCCCCACACACACTCTAGACCCCATTTTCAGGGGAAGAAAGTTATTAAGCCCCTCCCCCTCTCTCTTAAAGCCCCCCTGCCCCTATTATTCACAACCAAATAAATCAGTGATACACTGTAGTAATCAATCACGACTGTAACGCTTCAAATTTCACGTGCTGGAAATTCAGCCTTTTTGTATCCTCCAACTTCATGTGCTGAGGCTTTTCCACTCTGCGTTCTAGATCTTTAGGGTATTTATACCACCTTCTAGATTACTTCCTAGTTGTTTAGAAAAGCTGTTTAACACCCCGTTTTGCCAACTCAAATAACCTCCATCTAAAATAAGCCCCCCACCCCCATAGCCTAAAAAGGGGAGTAGCACTCTGTTTAATGCCACAAGGTGTTGTGTCTATCGGTTAAACTAGTCTGATAGTTAAGCCTTTACATTTAACAACTAACTGCTTTGATTGAATGTGGGTGCTTGTGAATGCTTGTTGGAGGCTGGCTCCCAGGATCTCTCCTCTTCCCTTGATAACGAGGTTGTGCGTGTTGTCCACGTGGCTTTGCTTTTTTACCTTCAAGGAGTTGTATGGCCACCTAGAGGGAGGGCTGGGAAGGAACATGACAGCTCGCTGCTCCAGTTCACAGACTCAAGTCATCAGTGACGCGCAAAAGGACATGGCAGGTCAGTTTGTGTTCTGCTGATCACGTCACAATGGTTACTATAGAATTGTTCTTTTTGGTGTATCCCATTTTGATTAGTTGGGTGTTTTCGCCCCAGTTTTTCAAAAGCTGGATAGCGCTATCCACCGGATAAATCATTTTAGTAAAATCCAACTAGTGGTCTATTATCAATGCTGCGTTCTGATTGGTTGAGCTACTACTAGGCTATATGTTATAGCCCACTAGTAGCGAAAAGCGCGGGCTTTTTGGCGGCAAAAAAGGATTAAAGTCTAGCTTTAACTAGCTAAAGTTTTTTTATTCTCGATATTTTAAACCAATTAGTTGGATTTTACTAAAACAATTATTCCTCTCGCCTTCATGGCCTCTGAGTCAATAGCCCATTCGGCCTTCGGCCTCATGGGCTATTAAATGTAGAAGATAAGTCTTAAGGAAAACCAACTGCGCGGCTATCCCGCTAGAGACTGATTTATCTGGCGTTATCCACTCGCCTTTTGAAAAATTTGGGCCTTTGAAATAAAGAAAAGCATTTATGATTGGTTAACTTTTTCCCTTCCGATTCAAGAAACGGTTGAAGCGGTTGAAATCGTTGGGTGGCGGGAATTAATTGTATATTACCCTATAAAACTGCCGTTTTTCGTGACGTCACCAAAAACCAGTGTTGACATTTGGCATCGCGAAGCGTCGGTTGTTTTCTCAGGCTAGGTTTATAAAGGTTTATACGCGTGTACATCTTGAGCTCCTCCTGCACGACGGGATATCCTTTGTTTTTTGTATACGGAACTTTTAGCACTAATTAAAAAATGGTAGCTTACTTTTATCGAGTCGTGAAAATGAGCGCCAGCAGACAGTTTTCTCGATTTTCAAGGGCTATCCCCCGGTGGATTATCTTCACATCCTCTCACAGATTGTAGTTATCTTTTACTTCAAGTTGGTAGAAATTTCTCATTGATACTTCGTTTCCTCCAGATCGCCTTCGTGCTCTACTTCCCCCAGAATCAGCGGAAGTAGCCCTTGATCCAGCTTCTTCCGCGTAAGTAGAATTACACAAAAGATACCGTAAAATTCCGAGATAAGCCCCTCCATGTAAAAACCCCTTCAAATATAGGCCCCCCAATCCGGTAACGCAGAAACCCTCCGTTAAATCGCCGCTCCAAATATAAGCCCCCCCCCCCCTCCCGGGGGGCTTGTACTTGGAAAATTGCCCTCAAATACAAAGTAAAACAAAGCAAAAATGGTAAATATACTTCCAACTGTAAGGCTAGCCCAATCGATTTTGAAACGCAGGGGCTTATTTTCGGAATTTTACGGTATTTGTTGCAGGAATTTCAGGTTAAACTGTGGTAGTGGGAACTTATCAATGTAAGAATTTAATACACATTTTCATTCTACTTAGCCTCGATTTCCAAGCAAGTTACAAACTGGACGTACCAAGCCTGTGCATTGATTTCCAGGAAGACATTGAGTTTCATTTCTCCCTTGGCTGGCAGGCCATTTTGAGGAAGTTCTTAGCCCCGCACAATGCGGGTCTCGCTATTGCCTTAGGCGCTAATGTAAGTACTGTATTGCAGTACAGATATATGAAATAGCCTTATTTAAGAACCATTGCTAGTTTATGCTCAGTCTCCAGCCGTGGATGTCTCGATGCTCCTGCGATTCTCCATACCCGAAGGACCTTCAGAAACAAAAAATACAGTCAAACGCCGCTAATACGGAGACTGAGGGGCCATAGAAATTGTCCATATTAACGGGGTGTCCGTATTAAGCGGGTTGAATTTAGAGAGAATGTTCGGACTTTCCCAAGGGACAAAGCAAAAAACTGTCTGTAATAACGGGGTGTCCGTATTAAGCGGGTTGAAGTTGGAGAAAATGTAAGTGCTGTTCCAGTTAAACCCCGCTTTACAGACATCCGCGTAATACAAACAAGTGGAGTTGTATATTTCCGAAAGTAGTAAAGGTAACATTTATTCTATTATCAAATAATTTAAGTCTATGTTACCCACAATTAGCTATTCTAGATGGGCAACAATACAATAATTGTCTCCTATAACGTCGGCAAAAGTAGCCCGAAATTCTGTAAAAAAAACATAATGTTTAGATTTCGTTATGAGTTAACAGCACAATAGAGACCTCGACTATTGTAAATGTCCTAAAAATATAGCCTCTGTATCGCCTCTGTATACTATGATGGACAGTTTGCTTTGTCCTTGGGGAAAGAAAGCCCTCTCATTTTCTCTAAATTCAACCCGCTTAATACTGACAGCCCCGTTAATACGGACACTTTCTATGACCCCCTCAGTGTCCGTATTAACGGGTTCTGACTGTGTGTTCTTCCGAAATGTCTAGACGGCTATTTTGGCCGCTCGCTGGAACTTTCGTGGAATCCCTGTCATCCCAATATGGGTATAACTTGCGCTATACTGCAAACCGACTATTTGGTTTGCTTCAAGCAGAAGTCGTTCCTTTGCAAATTGAAGATTAGCAAAAAGGAAACCGGCTTCTGCACGCAGGCCAAACCTTGGCGTCGCGCACAATCCAAAATTATTACCTCAGTTAAGCGAACAGTGCCCAAATGAAGGCTCAAAACTAGTACAAAAGAAGCAGTTAATTTTATATTCAGACCAAAGCAAAAAAGACTATCAACAAGTAGATATCACAGGTTATTACCTAAGAGGGTAGTTCCTTCTTTATACTGTACACAATTCGTCAGTAATTAGTATAAATCCAATTTGGTGCCCTCTGCTCTTTGTTTTTGTAGTGATTTACAGTCAAAAAACCTCTGGCTGATCCCGGGGGCGTTTGCTTACCGCAGGCTAGACTCTTCTCAGTCAACTTCAATGTAAAATAATTGACTCTTATTAATTATTGTTCCTCTATATTGTTAGCTCCAAAGGAATGTCCAGAACTTAGTTCCTACGGCCCATTATCAGTCTACAGAAGGAAGAACGGGCACTAGTGCTCAGGCCAGCTCATCGCGTGAGGTTCTAAAGCGACCCGAGGGTGATGAGGTTGCCGTGGCTGTCATTCAGGGACTCGCCTCACTGACGTCACGGACTGGCACGTTGGTGGTTATCATAGGAGGACTAGTAAGAATATTTTTGGTTCTTTTTCTGTTCTAAAATAAGTAATCGTATCATAACACTTCCGAACTTGATACGGGTAAAAGTAGAAGGCCGACACAAACCACGATATTAGCGTGCAAATAAAAGTCTGTTAAATACAATGTTCAAGAATGATTGGAAAAAGAGGGACAACACGGTGTTTCTTAGTGCAAGAGAACTTGCCACTCCATTAATACAGCCACCTAAGGGAGATTTTTTTAAAAAGTTGTATTAAGGAGTTGGTCACGTAAAAGACACTGGGTGGGTGTTGCACTGTAGGATTGTTAGAAGGAACCTGGGCCTAGTTAACGTTCGCAAAGACTTCTGGGACTGTTCTTAGGGACAGGGGAGAAACAAATGGCCAGTAGCTGACTGGCGCATCCCCAGTAACGATGCCAGAAACTATTGCGGTGTTCCAGGCCCCTTCTCGTTTTCTTAAGTTTCTGGTCATTACAAAGTTGCACAGGAAAATGGGTCAACATTCATTTCCTAAGACATTGTCATTGTGTAATTCGACGCATCACTGACCAGTCTCTCGCCAGCGACCTCAAAATGGCTCACATTCACCCTTAATGTATGGCGCATCAAGGTGCATGTATTATTTGGAAACCCGCTGTCACAAAGAAGCAACGTATCAGATGGGATCCCACGTTAAACAGTCCTAGCTTTTCAAAACAAAAAGACACGATCGCCAAGCCTCTCAGATGATGGGGGCCCTTCAACTATAGGTGTCGTCCCTCTGTTTTAGATAGGAATATGACGATATAATGTGCAACTAGAGGAAGCAATTGTGGGCGTGGTTTGCGGTGGTTGTATGGTCGTCTGGCGCGGTCCACTGTGGTTTTGGTTGACTGTTATTTTAAAATCTGCAATAACCATGTCGGGTCTACAGAAATTGTTAATAAACAATAATCTGTCTGTGAAACAAGAAACTTGCAAGGCTAGCCAACCAAAAATGACCCTGAGAAAACTTCGTTTGCTGATGATCGCATTTGTCGCAATGTCTCTTAAAATTGAACTCCTACAAAGTTCTTGTGGTTCTATTTTTTCCACGTTTCCTGTGAAAATAGCCAAGGGGGCATGCTCATAGTATCCCAGGGAAACTCTCCGACCCCCGGCCTTTCTAGTGGCAACCGAGCTTAATGCTAGTTTAAGAAGTTAGGCTAGTATTTAGGGCCTTCTATTACAACTTGCCCACAAGGGTTCGTAGGCAGGCGGTGCAAAAAATCTGCAGTCTAGCACATGCGGATCGTAAACGAATGTGGTTATAGGAAGGGAAGAGTGTGATAAGGGCATCTTCGTGTATTTCCGTTTTACAGTGATTAATGATGGTAATAGAGTGAGACTGAGTGGAGTCCAATTCGGTCTGTAATCATACGAGTGATTCACAACATCGGACGACCGCGTAGCGAAGTCCGATTGGTTTAATCACGAGTATGATTACAGACCGAATTGGACAACACGAAGTTCTGTTTCCAATTAATCATAACTATAACAAAATTTGTGATATTTTAGACTTTTTTAAAATTAAAACACAAGAAATTCAGAGTCTTTTCGCTAGCAGTTGGCGCGTACTGTCCAATTACTTAGGTATGAAGCGTACTGTCTTATTACACTGTCTTATTAGTGCTGTCATCAAAGGACAGTTGAACGGGACAGTTGATAGCCAAACAGATTTGACAATTTTGTTATAGTTAGGACAAATATTATTGAATCAACATGGCGGCTGCCTACTAATAGCATATGTTGCGGTTCAATTTTATCCTTGGTGTAAATTGTATTTTATTTTGTTTTTGGGTATGGTAATGTATGATAATTATTTTTTAAATAAAAAGAAAATAAATTTTAAACCATGGATAAAATTGAACCACGACACATAATTATAACCCGGCAACTGCCAAGCAGCATTTTCAACTTTCCTTGCTTTGTGTTTAGATTTGGAAGACTGTCGGATGGAAATTCATAGCCCTGTGTGGTGGTCTTTACAGTGGAGTGTATGTGATAGAGAGACTTCGCTGGACCAACAGCGCCAAAGAAAGGGCTTTCAAGCGACAGTTTGTCGAGTATGCTACTGAGAAACTCCAACTGGTTGTCAGCTTCACCAGTGCTAATTGCAGTATTCAAGTGCAGCAGTAAGTTTACTTTGGAACATGTCGAGATATAACTCTCTCTAAACCAAACACCCTCGGGTCTCACAATGACTGTCCGTCCCAGAGAGGTGTCCGGCTTACAGAGAGTCGAGCCCAGTGATTTTCTAGCTGAGCCTATTCGCAATGAATACACGTCTGTTTAACTTATATACTGAAAACAGCTAAGACAGGAACAAGCAGGAACTCCCGTGATTGGGAAGCGTCCTATCTAGCGGGGAGAAGCAGTACACTTAGATGCTTCATGCTACCAGAAATCGAAATAAACCGAACTCCGTCACTGTGCATGTAGGACTCATGCCTCGTGCGCGCCTCGAACGGATTGACTTTTTGGATCGGACGCCAATCAAAGAGCGTGCGGGTTGGCGATGAGCAGTCTATTTTTTTTTTCGCAAAAATCCCCTTATTCCATCATCGTAGGATAAGAGTGTCTTTAACTCTGTTAATTTCGAAATTAACAAGGTCTACTTGCATAAACAGGGTCAGGTTTTTAAGCCCTCGGCTGTAGCTAACCACTAGCCAAACTTCCCTTGATTGACCAATTCCCCCCCACACACACACTCCCCCTCCCGGAACGTTTTCCCGGTTGTATGTATTAGTCCTTTGCTTGCTCGTTTATGGCATTTTGTACAGAGATCTTCATGACTACAGTAGTCAATTGTGAATTGTACGTTGTAACATGCCTTCTGATTCACAATATCCACTGAGGAGAAAGACGTGACTCGCTTCGTTTCGACACTTCAGCAAAATATTCAACAAAAATTACACTGTTCAAGTTTCTGGTTACAAAGAGGAAGACTGAAAATGTAGGATTAAGATTTTTTCCCAAGAATAACAACCATCCAACATGTTTATACGGTTATCTCTTAATCCATGAGCTTAAATTTAATGCGGCTCGTTCCAACGTTGTTGACCTTGTTAATTTTTGGGTTCTGTTCCAGGTTTTTTTTTGTAATGCTTAAGTAAGCCTGTTTACTTGATCCTGTTAACGCGGATGTCTTTTGCGTCATAGTGCCATTTTAATTCTAAAAAAAGAGAGTTTCCAGCTTTTAATAGTCCTCTTAAGTAGCTGTCCTTTAAGTGTTTCATCCATGCTCGCGCTTGGCATAGAACTTGTATTTCTGAAAAAAAGAAGCTATTAAGAAAGGTGTCATTTTCTCACCCACTTTCCTGTCCCAATCGTGGGACAAAGCTAAATCTTTGTCCTCGACGTATTCAGGATTTCCACTTTGTCACGCAGCGCTCTTTTCGAGAAGAAAGGGTCCAGGGACAATAGGTGCGCATGCCCAAGACGAACCAACCACAGACCGTGTTTTGGCAGTTGTATTGGTGCGAAGCAACGCACTGAAGCTGACAAAAAGTAAAATGACGTATATAAATAAAGTACTGAACGTATTTATTCAAGAGAAGTGGAAAGTGAAACTGCTGTCTTAAAAGACAATTGTCCCTGGACCCTCTCCAGGGAGCGAAAGGTTGTATGTCAGAGAGAACGCTAGAGATAGCCTAGTGAGTAATAAGCGTCAGGCACCAAAGCCAACGAGCTACTTAGGTCATAGAGGACCACAGATCATTTTAATTTTGATGCATTTTGTTTCAGAGAATTGACTTCTACCTTTGTAAAACTGAAGTCACTTGTGCAAAGAGCGAAAGAAACATTGGAGGAAAATATCATTGATCTGTACAAAGAAATTACAAGGCTGGAAAAGATCGAAAACGATGCTAAGATTTTAAGGTAAGGCTGGGAAGCGCGGGATCTGATGCTTGCTTTGTTTAACTTATTCATTTATTTAATCCGTCAAAGGTACTCAGGATTACCCGGGGTACTTTTGGGAAGCTTTCGAAAATATGGGTTGTGATTTAAGGCGATGCATTTTTTTGGTCTTTTTTTTGTTCAGCATATTTGGGTATACTTTGTGGCGGCCCGTACTCGCACCACGCCAAATATGACAGTTTTATGTTTATGCACAAGATTTCCACCCGGGTGGTTTGTGTAAATGTTTCTCTGTTTTCTTTTCATGTTTTTCCACTTTTAGTTTTTCGCAGTTGTAAGTTAACAGTTGTGTTGGTCGTCTCTTAGGGGAAGGTGGCAAGAATAGCGGTAGTGCGAAGGGTGCCTCCCCTCCCCTCCGCTCCCCCTGGCTCTATTCAGTGCTCTACAAGTTGCTGAATTCTACCAAAGACGTTTCAACAGTGATATTTCTTACTGTTTTTTAGGTTATGTCCAGGGTAGGGAGAACGCTAACCTATACAATATAGAACATTAGTACCTACCTACACTTCAATAGTAGCTGCTAACGAAGGAAAATAGAAGAGGAATTGGGGAGGGGGGGAATTGCTATCACCCATATTTCACTGGGGGTGGGGTGGTATATCAATTTTTTTGTCGCTGAATGGGAGGGGCTGGGGAGGGAGGTTTCCTGTAATAGATTTTGTTCCTGGTTTAGAACTAAGCCTCAACTTCTCTTCTCAGAAACAAAGCAAGCTGGTTTGAGAGCGAGTTGTCTCAGTTTATCACTGAGTTTGGTCTCGCAAAGAGCAAGATCTAAAGCACTTCACATAAGCGGACAAGCCAGTTTCCAAAGGTAAACTATCTGATTTCTTCGGTTAAGAAAGAAGAAGGACCATCTTCACGATTTTAGCCGATTGAAGCTTCGAATTGAGGCAAAATGAATCATTTTTATTCGTTTTGCATCAAAGAAACTGGATGTAAAGAGAATGGCTTCAGAGGAAACGCGGGGTTGGTTGTTTCAACTGGACCGACGTTCTGGACAATGTTCTGAATTGGGAACTTTGGGATGGAAGTGTCGCCCGTCCCTGAACGTGTAGGGGTTTAAAACTCCGAGATCTTCAAGAATCTAAAGAAAACTTTTAGGGCGAGATGAAACTCTCGTTAATCTTGTATCGTGTTAGAAACGATTGCCTTATTCTTCGGGTCAGAATGTCCCAGGACGATAAACAGAGGGGACTCAGTCAACATACTACTGTACTGGGTTACTTGTAATTCCGAATTGTCAATACGCCGAGTGTTGGTCGTCTCGGTGAGGAAGGTGACAGGATTAGATGTAGTGGGAGGGGCGGGAACATTTTGCTCTCCCATTCCTTTGTATCCCTTCCCCCCCCTCCCCCGTACTTCATTCACTGCTCCACAAGTTGCTGAAGTCTACTGACGGTGTTTGAATAGTTCTACTGTTACTGTCTTTTTTAGGTCATGCCAAGGGGAGGGACAGTGCTAACCTATATGATATGAAGCGAAAGTGAGACTTTTTCTTGTCTGTCGCCTTCTTCAGTGATTAACCTTGTATATACTTTCACTTACTGGTTTTTGTCTCTGAAATGGGGTACTCATTTGATACTAAATGATGCTACGAAGTATACGCGCGCACATTTTCATTTCATACTCTTTAGTAGTAATAGTTATTACCGTTATCATACGGATGAAATCTCAGAAACCTCTCCAGTGATGTACCCCGTTTCATTGAAGCACTCTGTCTTTCTCTCTCCTCCAAACTGCCATACCCTTGTGTCGACGTAGTGTATATATCGTGTTCATCTGGAATTTAATGCTCAGGTGTCCCCAGTGGACCTTGTAAAATGTGACACTCTAAGGTCTTAGCCAGATTAAATGAAACGTCGATAACTGGTTCTCTTATCTGTCGTAGACATTTCCGATAACTTTCTGCCAAGTTTTTGTCGAATTGACCGGGCGTGGGTACTGGGTACTTTGACCTGTTTGGTAAAGTTGGTCCGCTTTGCACCGTTTTCGAAACTGCAGAGCGTTTTCACCCTCGTGGCCAGCAGCTATACAAATTTACCGGAACAAAAGAAAGTTCTTACATAAGAAAAAGGTTCAGCTCCCACAGGAGTGAGGACTGGTTTGAAAAACCAACATGGCCACTGTTTCATTGTTTTGGGACACCAATATTGCCATCGTGACGTCATGAAAACGCTCTATTGCTGGTTCGTACGTGACGTCACGGCTGGCGTGCATGTTGGTGGTCAAGAACAAAAGCATTTTGCTCCTCTGGGAACTAAACTCTGTTGTGATGTATATTCGAAAAAAAAATTCTATTGTGTTGAGCCCCAACATGGCCGCCTTGTCACATGGTTGCAGTCCAAGAGTATAACTTACTTGTGTTTTCCCCTTGGTTTCCACCGACGTACTGTGATTGACGTAGTTCTCTAAAAGCTGATAACATCATAACGGGCAAAACCGGTCTTAGCCTTTGATTGCTCCAAAAATCCAGCTTGGGCTTTCCTGTCATGCGCTACCATAAAACGGGACTCGAAAATTATGATCAAGCTGATTTAAAAACTCAAGAAAATAATACATGAGAGTCCCTAAAAGGCTTTGTGGGATACGGGATTTCCCTTACTTGAAGCCCGGGGTTCGGGATTTTAAAGCGGAATGGGGGCGGGATTCGGGATTGAAACCAGCACGGTATTCGGGATGCGAAAATAACCATCGGGATTACTCGACTGAGCAAAACGTTGCGTCGGGATGACAAGGTTGAAAAGGGAGCGAGGAGAAGCAGCTGTTTTCGCAGGCTGCGCCAAATAAGATCAATGAGTATCAGACACAGGCATTGTTTTTTATTTGTAGCAATTGAAACTGATTGAAAAGACGTGCCCCAACTAGGGTAGAGTGCGCAGGGTTAAGCTTTTGCGACTCTCTATTAAATTAAGAAAAATAGAAGGGGGGAGGGGTGGGAATGGCTTAAATGTGCCATGGGCAAATGTAAAATCGGTTTGAAAAAGGTATAGAGTTTGTCTAGGGAAGGAAAGTTGGTCTTGACTGAAATAATAGGGTCCTTAATATCCAGCGACGGTGACTGCAAAAAGAACGTCAGGTTTAAAGGTAATGTCACACGGGACAATTTGCAACACAACATTACAACATGGTTGCAACATTGTTTCGAATGGTTGCAACATTCCCAGTGCTGTGTTGTGCAAAAAATCGTCGTTGCGAATTGTTTCGTGTAACATTACTTTACTAAGCAAGACAACAACTTTGCACGTGCATCACGCGTGTTTTACATTTCTTTGCCGTCACTTCACGACTTTAGGACGTAACAATGCCTAATTTCACGTTTATGGAGGTCGTAAACGAGCATGCAATGACAAACTCTTCTCTCTCTTTCTGAACTTTGATAAGGCTTTTAGGAATTGAACTCCAGGAGGGTTCGCATACATTTGAAAACTAGGTAAGCTGGAATAATTGCGATGCTTCAAAAAACCGGAATTTTACGGTGTAAGTTGAAAGTGTTGTTTACCATTTAACCACCTTTAATTTTATTAACCTGGTGTTTACTCATTGGCTAATTTGTCAGGTATATGCAAAGGATTAGTACAAGCTAAACTAAGGCTTGTCTAAAATAAGCATTGTCTAATTGGATGAACCGGCTTTGAGCTGTAATCGGTATTTTAGTGCAATGCCGCGGTTGATTAATTAAGATTCGGCACGTTCAGGTTCAGATAAGTTTATTTTTTGTTGCCTTTGGTGGAAACTTAAAACGAGCCTTCATCAAGTGAAATCTTTATTGAGGAGTCGACTTGGAGTTCATAAAGGTAAGCTTTGAATATCTAAACAACGGTAAAGATAGATAAGAAGCGATTAGCCTAGTTTAGCTCTTACTTCGTTGTGGAAAGGTGGCACATAAGGCATTAAACCGTTTCACCTATGATACATTTGTGTATAAAAGCATTGCAGTTAAAACTTAAGAATGCGAGGGTAGGCATTGGGGCATGACAATTTTGTCCTCAAGGCATGTTTTTTCAGTCGATGCAGTCTGTCGTTTCCAAACTAAGCGCAAGGGCCCAAAGCTTGTAGCCTTTATCCACTCCATAAACTTCTTGCCCGGGGGGGGTGTTCCCCCTTATATAAGACATATAAGTATGCGCCGCCCCAAAGGGTATGGTTTTGGGGCCTTTTTGGTCTGAAAACCGGTATACACTTTGCCAATTTTGGTCTTGTGTCGGGTATGGTTTTCGAGGGACTTACGAGACTGTATGAACGTATTTCTTGCTTCAATTCCAAATGAATAAGAACGAAATGAAAATATGCGAATTCTAACTACATTTGTGGAATTTTTTGTTTGCGCTCTAGTCTAAGTATTTATGATGACATAATTTCTGCCAAAAGGCCAAGTCTAAAAAACGGGTAAAGATTTTAGAGGTCTGATCTCAAAACGGCTCTGAAAATGACATTTTTTGGTCCGAAATAGCGTCAGGATTTTGAGAACCGGGCGTCACACCCCAAGCACGAATTCCCAGGTGTACCCCCGGGCTTCTTTCTGAATGAATTTAAAAATATTGGGTGCTTCCAATACCAAACCAACTGACGATGGCTTATCGGGTAAGGGAATGACTCTAGTTATTCGCCATTTTTTTCAGCAAAATACTTTTGCATTGTTATGTAATTGTGATTTCATAATACATTCCCTCACGAATCGTAATTATTATGATGTTTACTTTGCGTGAGCTGTTTATCTATTCGTCTGGCGGTTTTATGACATGCCGTTCAGCTATAAGAGTTCCCTAATCAATTAACGGCGCTTTCTTGCTCGTGTTCCGGGTGTGCGCGTGTGCGTATGTGGGGCAGGGGGGGGGGGGAAGGGTTTGCGGTGGTAACTAACTCGAAACCTCAAATTGCTAACGGCACGTACATTCAGGCTCGGGTTCAGCCGGAAGGACAATTGACCTAAAAGCTAACTTGGCTATTCCTGGAAAGGGTGGGGGTGGGTGGGGGAGACGGGGACTCAAAAGAGGGTACAGGTGTTAGGGTTAGAGAGAGCCGAGACCTCAAACGCTGACCCGTTTAAGACAAAAATTGCTCATTTGGCTTCCATGTCGAGCTTAGGACAAGGGACTTAATTTCATGACCCTTTATCTTTTTGTTTTGCATGCAGAATTAAGCCCCTTTTTAAGCTAACACTCTAATGGAATTAGATTTTCTGGGGAAAAGAAACACTGACTGTTTTCACCACCAAAGTAGATTGCTCATCGCTAACCTTCACACGTAGTTAAAGGCCTCCGTCTAAAACGACACCCTGCTCAAGACGCTAACTAGTGAAATTGTTTACGTTGTCTGAGACTCAATGCAAGACCCTAGAAATCATACGCCCCGTTTAGACCCACATACCCGTTTAGGCCAAACAAGGTAGTTCCATATCATCCTAGACCCTAACACGAAACCTGTAACTGACAAACAATCCTCAAAAGATAGCAACCCCTGTGTTAAATCCTGGCCTTTTGAAGGCAAAAGGCAAGATACACGTCCTGTTGGTTCTATACGAACAAGTCAGGCATTTACACCCATTTTGGGCTAAGCTGCCCTATGGCTATATACACTTCAGGAGACCCCCCTGACACGTTTCAGGCTCAGAGGGGCCAAGAAACAACACCCTGTCACACGGAACTCCATCTCCCCCGCGTTTTTCCACTTCACTGCCGGTAGGCCTACTTTCTGTTGGCAGTGTTACCGCTAAAGAACAAATGGATTGTTTATCATGCACAATTACACTCCAACCGATAAACAACTACCATGAGACACGACTACTGAAAGAAATGTCGACAGAAAAAGTCCTGCTTGCCATGGATTGGTCTGTTTTATAGAGGGAGGATTAAATATTATTTTAACCTTTAGATTGCCTTTGAAATTGCAAGGCATTCCATTCCCTTTTCCTTGTGTTGCAAGCTACAATCTTGAATAGGTTAGATGGAAAATTTAGACCACCTCCCCCTCCCCCTCCCCCTCGCTAATCAGGGATGGAAGAATGGCGCGTTTGGCTTTTGCAAGGCTTCATCCTTGATTTTGGGGGGGATGGGGGATTACTGTTCCATTTTATTCTATCTAAGATTGTAAGTGTAAAATAAGTTTGAACAATTACCCCCATTGCGCAATTGCTCGGCACATTGCAAACACACATGTTTAAGCTTTCATTCGGCAATTTTTACATCATTGTTACTTGTAATCTGCTAATTAAATTTTGGAGTTTAATTATAGCTTCTTGAGCTTGAAGACCTGAATTGGTTTTTCTCACCTAAATATGAAATTCCTTATAAGGTATTTTTTTCGAAACTTTTGGCAACGTCTCAAGAAATCGAACTTCAAGATCTGACTTTGTAAACTTCAAATTATGTTTCTTCCGATCCGAAAAAGGTTTAGTTTTACTTGACTGTTGTTATTGTTATTGTTGTGACTTCCTTAACACGCAACATCTTTTTTTTATATAAGGAAAGATGGATTATAAGTTGTCTCACGGCTCCAATCTTGAAAAAAGTGGCACACTTCGCGAAGATATAGCTCATCCAGGTGCTGTCATAAGTTGCAAGGTCAAATTGCCCTTTAACTCCAAATTTAGCTTTTCCGACAAAATAACGTATGTTTGTAGTAAAAACAAGATAAAGACGATGTTTTTTATTTGGGTTTGAAAGATTTGTCTCTTGTAGCCTCACGTGCCTGACAAGGAAGTTTGCAGCGGCTTAGGAAGGAAAAAATCTCGGGAAAATTCTGGAAAGTCTAATCAAAATCTGCGTTGTGTCAGGAGTTATACTAAATTAGATGCCCTGACTTATTTCAGTGAAATCAAGAAAAGAAGGACTCAGAAGTGACCCCCCAAAAAGGGAAAGAAAGAGAAAGAAAAAATTTGGAAAGGTATCTGAAAGCTGAGCTCCTGAATTAG